AATCTCTCGCACCCTGTAAACACACACACACACACACACACATGTGCGTCTGTGTGTTTGAATCCAACTTCTCGTAATTTCAGACCGTTGAACCTTCTTGCCAAATCAGAAGAAAATGTCTCCAGGTAAACTCGCCGAAATTCAATCCAGTTTACAGATTCCTCTTTCCTTTGATATTAACTACATTGATTGTTAAAATAAATATTGGAAAAAATCCCGTCTGTCTGATTGTTTCCATGTTATGAAGTTGGTTAAGTGTTTTTTTTTCTGAACTGACGCATTTCTGCTGATTACTGTTATATGTATTACATGGTGGTTCTGATTTTATTGGGTATTGTTAAAGTTGGAAATGGATCAGAGTATTTGGCGGTGTCCAAGTATGATGAAGCGATGGACGCTTTGTCTTCACTGATAACAAAACGGAGTCGAGCCGATAAGAAAAACAAAGGCGATCGTTTTGACTTGTTGTTTGATTATCTGAAGGTACATCTGTTTCCGTCATATCCAATCCCATTCCATATCGATTTGTGTGAAAGGGTTAACACACACGCACACACACACACACACACATATTCTCGTATTTGTGTGTTCTTTTTATCTTCTATGTTTGGTGAATGTAGATATTGGAACTAGAGGAGCAGATACAAGAGATGAAGGTTATTCACGTTGCCGGAACCAAAGGAAAGGTGGGCAAATGAACTTAACTAGCGTCTTGAGTTTCTTGGACTTCGAGTTGCTGGAAGTCTTGGTGATCTATTTTGTTGATTTTTGAGTTGATTTGGATACTAAAGTTGCTTCAGAGAACTGCTATTTTTGGTTTCAAAGCACTGATAGGGATCTTATTTCATGTACCTGAATATGAAGGGGTCAACTTGCACTTTCGCAGAATCTATTCTGCGCAATTGTGGTTTCCGTACGGGACTGTTCACTTCCCCTCACCTCATTGATGTTCGAGAAAGATTTAGGTTGGACGGGTATGTGCTTATAAATGGCAGAAGAGTAGAATGTTTGCCTCTAAACATATTAGAGGGGGTTTTCACTTTGTATCTGCTTGCATACTCTTTAAGAAGGGGTCAAATATAAAAGTATGCAATCAGATCAACTTTTTATTGATTTGTTTGTTTGTTTGTTTGTTTTTGATGTTTCAGTTTAGATATTTCTGAAGAGAAGTTTTTGGCATACTTCTGGTGGTGTTGGGATCGACTGAAGGTATGTTCAGTGCTTTATTCTGCAATATTATTCTGTCATAATGGTTCTTACAGGTGAATTTCACCTACTTTTCTCACCGGTTCTTTAACCTTTGGATTAACACCCACCCACGTGTGTGTGTATTAATGCGTGTGATCTGATTGATAAAAATCGTGTGTGGGCAGTCTTGAGAGAGAAAAAAAAAACAGTATAAATTTTCATAATTGTAATACAAAAAATTAGTCTCTTCTTAGATGCTTGTAAGTTCGTAACCTCTATTCAGCTGTCATGTCTCTGAAGCAGCCGTTGGCATTTTATAAAATCTTAGGAATGAGTACATTTAGTGTCATTTTTATGAGCTTTTACCTCCAAAGGTGCCAGTTAAATGTTTAGAGCTTAAATTATGAAAGCATTTAACGAAACTATAAGACTTAAAAGCCAGAGAAACATTTCATTTTGTTGAACATAGGCTGAAAGTTCAGATGGCATTCTTTGTTTAGGTGGATTTCTTGTTCAAACATCATGTGTCTGAACAGCTGAGTTAACCCCTCTCCAAAATAGGTAATCCTCTGCTTGATAAGATAATACTTTAGCAATCATGGAGTTGAAGTGCCAAGTCTAACTTTATGGTAGATATACAATTTATTAAAGCACTGACGAATATATTGACTAACCTAATGTTTGATTATGATTATTTAATTCTCTATAGCAAGTTTTGGATGAATTAAAATGGAAATCTGTACTCTGGTTTATTGACATGTGTTATTGATCCTCTTCTACCGATGGGCCCGCTTGGGCTTTGTTATTCCTTATCAATGTTATTTTCGTGATGTAGGGAGGAGCTTCTGATGAGATACCCATGCCAACATATTTTCGTTTCCTTGCCTTGCTTGCCTTCAAGATTTTTTCAGCTGAACAGGTAATAGTAGGCTGATAGCTGTAGTATTTTACTCAGCTTAGTTGGTTTTCTACAATTAAGTACTAATTTTCAAACTATTGTATCCAGGTAGATGTTGTCATTTTGGAAGTTGGTTTAGGAGGAAAATTTGATGCTACAAATGTGGTAGGATACTCATTGAGAAACAACATTACTGTCATATTTAAGAATGGATTTCCCATAATAAGGTTTCCAGATCTCTAAAATCATTATGACTGTTATGTTCAGGTTGAGAAACCAATTGTTTGTGGTATAGCTTCTCTCGGGTATGACCACATGGAAATTCTTGGTTAGTGCTTTCTCTTTAATAAATGGGACTGGGCAGAACTCATCCCTGAAAGCTAGCTCGAAGGGGGAGAGTGCCTAAACCACACTTATACACAATAAAAGCCCCATCAATTTGAGACTAACCTAAACTTCTAACACCTGCCCTCACTTGTAGCATGCCAATCCAAATGGGTTGATTCTATGCTCAACATCGTCTCCAAACAAACAAAACTTGGGTGCTCTGATACTCTGATAAATGATACCATGATAAATTGGCATGGATAGGGCTCAACCCCAAAAGCTAGCTCAAAGGGAGGGTGTCCAATTCACACTTATACACAATAACAGTAACTATTCGATGTTGGATAAACATAAGCACTCTCCATGATATTTAGGTAACTGTCTGATTTGAGTATTTTGTTGAGGAATCTGGCAATACTTTTCTATTGATCGAAATGTCAACATCGTGTCTATTGTATAGATAGCTTAAATTTTGGCATGAACAACTAGGGACTGGATATTTTCATTTGTTGAAATATTATGCGTGTCCGGTGTGTCTGTGGAGGGGTGGGGTGGCTGGCTGGCTGCATAGTTTACCCTACTCTCATTTTTAATTGCAGTTTGTATAAAACTGAATATCAAGGGGCTATAAGAGGATGCTTGGATACAAATCTTCTAAAAAAATCCAAATATTTTTAACTCAACCTCACTATCATCAATATTATCAATATCATTAAATAATACCAATCAATCATTCTTACACACCACATAAACTTTAATTCACTATTCATCCACTCACATAATTTAAACTAGCCATCATTCCAAATCATCTCTCTCCTACTTTTACATCAAATAAACTTTAATTATTTTATTTTAAATATTATTTTAATATATCCACTAACTAACCATACCACCTTTTTCAAAATTAACCAAACCAAACCAAAAAAATCGAAACAAAAAAATTTTATATCCAAGCATCCACTAAAATATTCTAATCAACTTGTAATTAGTTTAACACTCCAGAAAATTTTAGTAACTGAATCATAAATTGATGAAAGCTGTGAATGGAGTTTGGTTTAACAATAATTTTCTGGGTCTTTTATGTGATTAACTACCAGGTTAATCTCAAAACTGAAACTGACTATGTAGTCCGCTTGCGTTTGCTGTTTTTCTTTTATTCTTCTTTTTGCTTACCGACATCCTACCTTTTGTATCTAGAGCGGATTTGCTTGACTTTACCAATGAGATCTATGTTATTTGTTCTCCAATGGAAATATTTCTATGTTAGCACATTTATATATATAAACTTGCACAGGTAATACACTTGGACAAATTGCTGGAGAAAAGGCTGGGATTTTTAAGGTTTGATAATTCACATGTTCCTTTTTACATGTTTACTAATCCTTGGAGTGGTCAAATGTTTGGATCACTTAAAACCAACATTGTAATGCAAGTGGTTTTGCTCACCCTTCTGGAGGGTGTAGATTAGTACTGTGGCATGAGTTTATCAGTTTCTTTGATTCTATTTAGTACTTTGACCTGGGTCTAAAGTTTATTTGATTCTTATCCTATCCCTCCACTCCTCCCAATTCTAAATAAGTTAATTTCCTTTTCATGCCATTGTTTTTGCTTTTGGTTCCTTCAACTAGAGTGGTGTTCCAGCCTTTACTGTACCACAGCCAGATGAAGCCATGGCAGTTCTAGAACAGAAGGCTTCACAGATGGATGTAAGTTAAAGTTTCTCCATACTAAATTTAGTCCTATGCTCAATTAGAATTGTGAGTTTAGTCTCAGCTATTAGATGTATCACGTATCTTGAAGGTGATGCCTGAGTTTTATCTTACTAAGGATAATGGTTGCTTTTACTATGGTCAATCACAATTGTTTTTAACATAAGAACCCAAAGGTGTGAAATTATGTGATTAAGATTGAGGGACCTGTATTTTCTTGAGGAAATTTCTTCAGAGCTGTTAGAAGTTATGTTTGTACAACATCCATTAGTCATTAAGATGTTATTGTGATTAAGTGTAGGTTGTCAACCTCTCCCTTTGAGTTGAATATTCAGGATGAGTTCTAACCAGTCCCATTTTTTATGGTACCCGAACACCCTTGTCTGTTTGTTTGGCTGGAGACGATGTGGGGTTTGGACCTAATCCACCTGGATTGGCTGACAACGCATGAGGGCTGGTGTTAGAAGTTATGTTTATCCCACATCGATTAGTTATTACTTATTAGGCTGTTGTTGTGTATAAATGTGGGTTGGATATCCTCACCCTTTGAACTAGCTTTTGGATATGAGTTCTACCCTGTGACCCATTTATCAAGAGCAAATTGCATTGGATGAAAAAGGTGGTTCTGGATAAGCATTTAGCCATAAATTTCATAACCAATCTTCGCCATCCATGTTATTTGAAATGGTTGATAACTTGGATACCGACCATTTGCTTGGTTTTTATGATGGTGCTTTACATTTCTGAGATGTTGCTCAAGATATTTCTAGCGATACTTTGTTTGTCTTTGTTATCTCTGAGCTAATATATTCACTGAGTAAGCAATTACGTTATATCGCGAGCAGGTAAATCTTCAAGTGGTTGCTCCTTTGGATCCTAGCCTGCTAAGCGGTCTGCATCTTGGGCTTGAGGGTGAGCACCAATATATTAATGCGGGCCTTGCAATTGCACTCTGCTCAACTTGGCTTCATAGATCTGGTCATGTTGGAGTTAATTACCTAAACCAGACTGTAAGCTCTAGTCAATTGGGCTTTATGTTATTACTACTTCATCCCTGCACTTACTCAAGTTTTATTCTGTTTTGCATCGTGTAAGCAGACCTCTCTGCCTAAAGAATTTATCAGGGGATTAGCTACTGCTTCTTTGCAAGGGCGTGCTCAAATTGTCTCCGATCAGTTCGTTGAGAGTGACAGCCCAGGTGATCTTGTATTCTACCTGGATGGTGCCCATAGTCCAGAGAGCATGGAGGTATGTGCAAAATGGTTTTGCCTTGCGACCAAGGAAGATAATAAATCTTCTGACTCACAGAGAGCACATGAATCAGGACAGAGCGGGCCTCTCAGAAAACATTCAACTCAGGTTAGATATTCTTATTAGGATACTACTTTTATTTTAAAGAAGTTTCAGAAAGTTAATTTGTTTGTGCAAGTATATTGAGTGTTTCATGATTCAACATCTCGACGATTTTTGGCAATTTTGAGAGTGAGCTGTTTTAGCAGATTAGATCAGTTTATAGACATCTTTCATCGTAAGTATATGTTGAATTTTCTCAATCACCAATGGACATTGACTAATCAGAAGTTTAGTTTTGAAAACTGATGAAATATTGCATAAGCAAATTAGCTGAATCGAATTACGAGAACACTTCAACTATCTATTCTTATGTGATGCGTCACTGTGTCATTTAACAAAGAAAACTCTTCGAAGTTCGTGTTAATAACACTCACGTATAGGTTTGGCATGATGATTCACTAACCTATGAGAAATTGTTTGCAAGAAGGAACTCTGGGCATGAATTCTTGAAGAATTATTATCGATAGAACTGTGGATACACAGGATATGATTAAGAGGCTCTGTCGATGTCACTTCAACACAGTTAATATCTTATTGACCAGTTGATATAGAGATCTGGTTCTATTTGTTATATGGAAGCACAGGACTTCAATCCATAAGAAAACGTTCCAAAAATGATATCATATTGCATCAAAATCATGGTAAGCAATTGTTAATTATATGTTAGTTTTGACTAACTTGTTCGCAAATCCTGGAAGCTGATGATAAGTGGGTTTTATGGAACGTAGATCGGAAGCAGCTATTTTAATTACTGATTAGAGCTTTCATTTATATAAATTATTTTCAATTCTATGTGCCAACTTTGGCACATACCTCTAAATGAAATTGCTGGCTTGCATTATTGTTCTATTTTCCTTAACCAAATGCTTCAAGTTATGTCTCTTGGAGGACGATGTTATGTACTTATGGTCAAAGTTTATTCTGTATTCTTTCCACAATCAATGAGTGTCTAATGGATTGTAGTACTTAATTTGCTTGTAACTATGCAGATATTGTTGTTCAATTGTATGTCAGTGAGGGACCCTCAATTGCTTCTTCCACGCCTAATGAGAGCATGTGCCAGTCATGGTAATTGGATTTCTAATGGAGTTCAGTGTGCAAAAAAGATAAGTTATTTTCAACACACACACACACACACACACACACTTTTCCCACCACCAGAAGAACAATAAAAAAAATGGAATGAAAAGAAAAGAAAAGGAAAACCAATAAAAAAAAAAAACAAGCCAAGGCACCCTTTTCTAATGCTTTATTAAATCGGTGCTTTCAGGAGTCTACTTTGAAAAGGCCTTATTTGTTCCAAACACATCAGTGTATTACAAGGTGGGTAATGTTGCCTCACCCTCAGCTGATACCCAAGTTGACGTGTCATGGCAGATCTCTCTTCAGAAATTATGGGAAAGCCTCATTCATGGTGAAAAAGGTGATTTTAATTTTCTGTACTTGTGTTTGGTTCACTTGAAAACCTTCCTTTTTGTGGAGCCCAACAGATCGTGTTTCCGAAAAACTTTATCATAATAGAGTGTCCGCACTTACCATTATTCAGTCATTTTGTCACGATCAAATTTGAACTTGCTATGTTAAAGAATTCGTTTGATCATGGTGTTTTTCTTGCTTCCACTTGGCTACATGTTAGACTCAAATTTCTGCTGCTTTACACTAAGGAAGTATGCTGTGGGCTGATGTAGTGTGATATGCAAGTGGAACGTCCTTTCTTCCAAAATGTTGAATACAGCATGCTGAAGGTATATTCTGGAAGAAAGCATGTGCTCATAAGACAACAAACCCTCTAACTTTTGTAACAAATAAAATAAAAGATGTCCTCACTTGGAGCATGTCGCCTTTCTGCTTCATGCATGCTTTATAAGTGCAAATATGTCTTTGCCTTTCTGCTTCATGCATGCTTTATAAATGCAAATATTTCTGCATATCAATGGCTTATTAAAGGTGAAAACTGCTGATATTCTGAGTTGTAGATCTGAACAATACGTCTATACCTCGGGTAGAGAGGTAAAGCCTAAAGATTTTTTGCAACACTTTTGTGAACTTTTAGTTTATATTGCAGACACATTCCGATCTAAAGCAAATGTGTCCCAAAACATTCTCAACATTTCACAAACATCTGAAGTCAGTGAATCATATAAACTGGGGGATAGAAGGCTTATGCTTACTCTCTGGCTTTCATCTCTCTATAGTATATCTCGAGCAATTTCCATTTCGTTGTTTTTCCAAACATGGAAGATTAATATTCCATTTGATGGAGTGGTTGGTCCTCGCATATTGTAGAGTCGCTTTATTAGCTCCTTGACTTTGACTGCAGTATTAATTGTTTCTTTACTGTCATTCATTTGGCTAGAATTATATATGTACGAGAGTGTGTCTGAAGTTGCATTACCTGTGTCAACAACTGTAGGAAATCTCATCAGGAATGTAAAATGTCTGTGTATGGCCTAATTGTATAATGTTATTGTTACTGTTTTCCCGATTCATGTGATGGATATCTAAACTTTTCTGCCTAGACCTTATTTATCAGAGTTCTTGAATAAGCTATAATTCTAGAGGAATCAAGTTCACTTGTTTGTGTTTTCTCTTTGATGCTCTGTTCATGTCCTTTCAAAGATTGGATGCGCCCATGGATGTTGATGCTATTTCAAATAAATTTCATATCGTTGCAAAATTTTACAGAACGAGAAGTGAAAAATGCAGAGTTAACCTGTGAAGCAATTGTCGATGATCCAGAGAAATGCGCTACTAATTCCGAGAACAGTACAGTTTTCACTTCACTCCCTCTAGCTATTAATTGGCTTAGGGACAATGCTCGCAAAAATCAATCTGTTCACTTTCAGGTACCATTGAGTTCTGCCTTGACAGATGTTTATTTGAAAATTGAGAGTGTTTGCCTTGGGTTCGATTAGTCAAAATTAAGTCACAAAAAAAAGGATGATTATTCGTGGCCAACTTGTGTAAAAACCACGACGCAGTTTTATCTCATGAAAAAAATAAGGAAAAAATAAAAAGCATGAACTACAATGCTTTGATTGAGACATCTGAAATGCTCTATAGCAACTTATTGTTTTCACTTATCATTTATTTTATTTTATTTTATTTTCTCTCTGTCCATTGAAATTCTCTTCTGAATCCGCTTTACCAGGTCTTAGTGACAGGTTCGTTGCATCTAGTCGGTGATGTATTGCGACTAATCAAGAAGTAACACAGTATGGTTGCACTCAATATTTTCTGTTTTTTGGTTTTCTGTTTGTGTTCGTGATGATGAAAGCAAAGAACTCTGATCACCTGCGCCAGAGTCGAGTCCACATAACGAACATTTTGAAGTTGCAGCTGTGCTTCTGCAACTGTATCAGAAAAGTACTCTTCGTCATAGATGATATTGTTATAAGTTCGTAATTTTTTATTTTGGTTATGTTTCTTTTACAAGTATGAAGCATCGTGGTAAAAGTATGGTTTTTTTGTTAAAAAATTAGGAGTCTCGAATGACACAATATTATAATAGATTTTTTACTTGATAAACATGTTTTTTGCAGCAGTTGATAATTGTTTATGATTTAGTGCTTTACAAAAAGTTGGTGATAGAAATAGCACTAGTGAATGCTGACTAATAGTTGATCCGTGTATAAATATAAATAACAAAATATTATAAATTATATGTATATATAATATTAAAATTATACAATAAGTAATGGACATATCACATTTTATAAATTTGATGTAAATGAAGAGTATAGATATAAATTATTTAATTACACATGAATTAATATATTGATTGTATAAAATTTGATAGATAATATAATTTTTGTAATTTCGATGGATCATTATCGAGTAATTAGTTAGAAAAAGATTGAAATCGATTTAAGAGGTTTGATTATGCCATTAAAATTAATTACTTGATTTCTTAAAAAATCGCTTAATGAGATGAAAAAATATATATATCTATTAATATATAATAAAGATTAACTTAATTCACTTTTAGTAATCTTTTCCCGCCAAATTCATTAATTATTGTCTAAAATTAGTAACTTAACAAACTTTCATTAATTACATATTGTAATATGGAATAGATGTTTTTTCCGATTAAAATATCTATAAATATGGAATAGATATTTTTTTCGATTAGAATCTCTATAAATATTAACTTAACAAACTTTCTATTATATATAATAGATGTTTTTTCCGATTAGAATCTCTGCAATATGGAATTTAGAATCTCTTGTCGAGTGAGCATTTCCGTAAAAGAAATAATTAAATTAACTAAATAAATTGAATTCGTAAAAAAAAAAGTAAATGCATCTATATGGATTTATTTGCATATTGTTCCGTAAATTAATTACATATTGTATGGGCTTTGATTCCCTAAAAAAAGGAATAAATTTGAAGCGTGAATAAATTGGCAAAATCTGTACTTATATAAAAAGGCATTCTATTTACTAGAATTAATAATAAGAAAAGTCAAATTTAATTAATGCATTCTATTTCCATCAAGTATTTTATTTAATTATTTTAGTTAATTGTTTTATCTCATAACACATTTTCAATACAACTTACCATGATTTTTCTATTTTGATTAAAAACCAAATTTTACGTTTAAAATCTTGTGAAATTATATTATTATTTTTATAAAGCACATATTATTTATTAAAAAATTGTATATATATAATACACATCACAGTACCATGATAGATGATTTAAATTTCAACCGACCAAAATGTCAATAATTTAAATTTGAACACCTATGCGTTTGACCAAAAGTCTAGATGATTTAAAATTAAGCCCATAAAAAATTATTTAAATTTGAACACACCAGAAAATTTATGTACTTTTTATTTATGAATATATTGAAAGTGGTATTTAATGGTTGTTATATAAACTATTTTAATATATTTGCAATGAATAAAAGTTTGAATGAATAATTTGTAATGTTATTCATAATGTTCGTGACTTATGAAAAACGAACACATAACTCCATACATATTTACCAGAGGGCGGCATAATAATTTTTTAGACTTAATGTTGATTAAAAGAGGTAGAAAATATCAAAATAAATAATAGCATTATTACCTTTTAGACTTAAACGGACAAGCCCGTGAAAATAACTCATTTAATATTTTTGTCCCGTGCATTGCACGGGGTACGTACTAGTAAATTTTGGAAACACTTCTTTTTTCCCCTGCATATATGAAGTCAGTCACTGGTTGATCTAAAAAAAAAAAAAATCATTGTAGATCAACCAGGGATGATTCAACTTTTATCCCTAGTTAATGTAGATTTAGACCTTGGTCGGATGACATTTAAAAAATGAGTTTATTTGTCTTTCTTCCCGAACGGTATACAAGGTTGTTTGGAGGATAAGCAAAATGCCAAGTGTGGGAAGTTGTTTGGGATGTTTTTGTTATTAATTTTGTTATTTTTATAGGTTTTATTCAAGTTTTGCTTGTTTTATAAATTTTTGGTCCATTAGGTTGATATTATTCGTCTACTTTTATATTTATTTTGTAGGAAATTTCTATCCGGATAAGTTTCCGGAAACCATCTCCCAAAATTTTGTCGGACGGGTAGAAACTGCCGCCGGTGACCACCAACCGCTAGCCTGGACCAGCGGCTGCTGGTCGTGGGCAGCGGGCTAGCTACCGCACAACAAGGTCCACAATTCCTCAAGAAGAGATCGAGTGCATCCGAGCATCGCTTGAGCAACACCTGAGCACGTCCGAGCGTCCCCTGAGCGCACCTGAGCAATGCTAGGCAGCGCGCCCGCTTTAGGCTGCTAGCGCTTATTGTGCCTGTTGGAGTGCTACAATTCTCGGGTTGTCACGTGCTTTGCGCCATCGACGAGTAGCTTACTTGGACAAATGTAGACCGATTTTTAACCTTGTCTCGAATCCGTTTAAATAGCAAATCACACAAGATGTTGTGATCATCTTTGAACACGTTCAGAACAGCTTGAGGATCGATTTGAAGGCTCCCGAACACCGTTGCATTTTTCTCCATTTTTCTTTTAGCTTGCTTGATAAGGAGTTTCAAAGAGGAGGACGAAAACTTATAAGATTTGTTCTCCGATACTTTCTTACAAATTAATGGAACTTGATTTGTTTGGTTTATTTCTTTCAAGCAAGAATTAATTCATCCACCTAAGAATATGAGATAATTCGTAATTATTTTGTTAATTCATCCACCTTAGAATATGAGATAATTCATAATTATTCTTGTTGTTTCTGATTATCAGAATTGTTTAACTTGTGCGTGTTGTTTGAATCCAGGATTATCTACTGGTCACCGCCTAATCTAGCTAAATAACTTTAAGAATCTATACTGGAGAAGTTGTTTGACCTAGGCTCATATAGGGCATGTTTATAACTGTATCGCCTATGTGAAATCTTATTTGACGAACTCACCGTTTATGTTTCTTCTCATATAAGAGATAGTTATTGAAGACAAATCTCTACACATGTAAGTTTGTCGAATCATTTAATCAAATAAATCATTGTTTAGTATCTGCGTCCAGAACTGAAAACGACTATATCGATTCCCTGCACATTCTTCTACAATCCATTTATTTTGGGCTTGTTTGTTTTTTGGCGTTTTGGGGCAAACCGCTGTTTTAGCGGGTTTGACCAATCTCAAAACGCCAAAATAAAGTTTTCATGTTGTTTGGTTAGTTGGCTTATCATTTCAGCTTTTTCTGTCAAAACGCCAAAAAGTGAAACGCTGGAGATAGCAGCGTTTTCAACTAGCTTTTACACATTCTTAATTTTTTTTAACAAGTAATTATTCCCAATTTGTGAAAAAAAAAATATTTATTCCCGCAAGTTGATATAGTTGTTGATAACCTTTTTGTTTTTTTTTTTTTTGTTGATAACCTTTTTTCCTTCAACTTTTAATTGGCTTTTTCCTACAGTTTTTTTTTTTTTCAGATATCAACTTAATATTTAATACAATTTAAATTCTTCACCTTTAATATTTTAATTAGTTATTTTTTATGTTGATTTTTTTATAAATATGAAAACTTAATTAAAATTACTTAATCATATCAAATTTATTTTTATCATCATTTATACAAACTATTTTATTTTATCAAATTAATAATGCCACATATAATTTTTCAAAATCGATCCGCTAATTTTACCAAACAACATTTTGCAAAACCGCTAAAACTAACCGCTGGTCAAAACAGCTAACATAATCCGCTGGTCAAAACAGCTATAACAATCCGCCAACAGCTAACAGCTGATTACCAAACAAGGCCTTTATAGTTTATTGTTTGCTATTTAGTTTTTTTAGATGATTTTACCCAAACATTCGTAATCAGAATATTTAAAACTTTATATATTTTTTTTTTCGTGTGCCATCAATATCAATTTTAGATTTCAAACCGTCTTTCTCAATAGAATAGAGATTGATCAAAGGTCAAGTAATAATTTGACACAATATTATCGAAAGCAATTAAATCAACTGAAGCAAAACAAATTTTAGAATAGTGAATAACTTGAAAAGTTTAATTGCAATTTTAGAAACTTCTGTTCGTCCTGCTATTGAATACTATAAAAATTGGACATCTTATCTTTATCAAAACAAATCCTGAAGAATGTTTTTGTGGGGTTTGAATTTAAGTGAACCGCTATTTATTTATGTATTTATTTTTTTTTAAAAAAAAAAAAAAAAAGCAAACAGATCTATAACTGAAACCTTTATCATCATAATCACTAAAGCTAATAAATCTTGTTCAATTTGCTGCTGATCTGAAAGGTTGTCACTTTTTTCTCAACCATTCTTTAATAAAGCTTGTTTGTTGCAACGTCACATTCTTTTCACATAATAACTTAAGCTTTTTAGGACATTTGGGTTAGCCTGGAAAGAAAATGCGAAGAAACAAATCAATTTGGCTCTTGAAGAATCAAGAAAAGAAAAACAAAGAAAAATAATAATATATATATATATATATATATATATATATATATATATATATATNNATATATATATATATAACTCGTTGGAACTTGGTCTGACGGATAAAATAAATGAAAACAAAAATGTCAATTAAATGGATCTTTAAAAACTTTTTAACACTTCAAATCTTAGTGTATTATGTACCGAAAAAAAAAAATCTTAGTGTATTTATTTTACAATTTTCAGTTAATATATAGCGGTCGATTTCATATTAATATTAAACTAATAATAGCAACTACTATACGCATATTTTAAAAAGGCTTAATTGCATATAAAATCTCCTACTTTTGTGTAATTTCAAATAAAACTCAACATTTTGATTTTTGTAAATAAATACCAAACTTTTATTATGTGTTGCAAATTTGTCTCAAAGTTATTTTTCGACCAATCTTTGTTGACGTGTTCGATCAGAAATCTTACGTGACACTTATGAGGTTTGTGTGAACAATCTTTGAAACTACTCACCATGTTTTTGCCACAATATATATATATATATATTTTTTCGAAACGATAGAGATCTTATATAAATAAGCACAAAGGTGCAAAAGGACAGCTACAAGCTGAATACAAACAGCCAACGACTGAATACAAACAACCAACAGCTGAATAAAAAATGGGAGGACAGGTCAAAGATCGCCTACAGACCGACCTCAACAGGGTAATACTCGGCAACACTAAAAACACAAGACCACAAAAGAACAACTCCAACAACACAAAACACTAAAAACGACCCCAACAGGGTAATACCCGAGTGTCGGACCCCAACATGGTAATAAAGTTGACACTCGGGCTCACAGAGGCCAACAAACCAGACCTAAAATATAATACTAACACGAAACAACACAAATGACACGAAACAAGACTACAAAAACAAAAAACAAAAACACGAAGCCCTTCCCCAGCGAACGAGCTTACCCAACCAACAGTGAACGAACGACACAAAAAAGATTCCAAGCCCGAGAACCACTACCGAAACTGCAAACTGCCTATACAGTAGTCGAAATCAAGCCCCGAACCAATCTCTGAATCGCCCCATCTCCAACCAAGAGAACAAAAACCAACCCCCACACCAGCTCCACCCGAAACCGGCTAACACCACTAGCCGAGCCCGGAAGAACCCGGTCCCCCGCCTCCTAACACCACTAGCCGACAGAGGAGGGAGGGGGCGGCTCATTCCACAACTCCGGCAACCACAGCAGAGGACCCAGCGAAAGCCACGCCCAACCACGATGCTGCCAAAGCCCCACCCCACCACAAACCTACACACCTCGCCACAGCAAGTCGTCGGGATTGGAGGTCAGACATCACCCGAAACAGGAGAGACCCCAGATCGCAGACCCGAGGCTGAAACGCGAGAGTAACGGCTTAGAATTGAGGACCTGCCGGCAGCCGAATCGCAGACCGTACTCCGCCCAGAAGACGCACCGCGGATCGAGCCACTGACTGAAACCTTAGGTTCAACCATCCTACACCGGCCACCCACAACAACATCAGAGGATCGCAAGTTAGGAGAGGAGCGAGTAGATGAAGATGACCATTGGCTGGAGCAAATCCGTCACCAGGGAAGGCCGAGAGGAAGAGCAATTGACGATCGACGGAAGGAAATTGGGGGAAAAGATTTTTTTGCTGGAGCGGCCGGTATGTGGTACTGATAAAGAGGTCCCAAGCTTATATTTTTTTTTGCCACATCATATGTCAACAAATTAACCAAAATTAGAGTTTAGTACCAATTAAAAAATTAGAATTTTATTACCATGTTTTTTGCTCCATAATTCATAAAAATCGAGTTATGCTCCCCCAATTGAAAAAAATAAAAAATTACAGCGATCTTTCTCTTCTCCATGGCGCGATTCTTCACCCCCAAAAATCGAGTTCACCCCCAACATTTTGAATACATTTATGAGCTGACCCCCAAATTCTGAAAACTGGGCAGAGGGAGCGATTTTCGAGTGATTTTTAAGCAATTTTAGTGTTTTGATCGGATACATCAGCAAAATTGGTTTAATGTACAAGGCAAAGCAAAAAAAATTCTTACATATATGGTTTTTTTTTTCACTTTTCATGTCACAAAAAAATATAAAAGAAAATTACAATTAGAGAGTTGGAAACTTATATGATCAGGTAGTCTTCGTACATACTTGACAATAGGTATCCTCTCATCTCACCTTTAGATTGACCAAAACTTCATACTGAACCCGACAATTAATGTATAAGGCAAAGCAGTATTTGGCTACCTCGTACACCTCGTACATACCAAGTACTTATTATACCCTTACTTCAATTAAAATTATATTTATTTTGATTCAATTAAAAAAATTCATTTAATTCCTAGCTCATGTATAAAAATAAAATACAAGATAGGGTTATTAAATTGAAAATGTACTAGAATGGAAAATTTGCCACCGCTGGCCACCATCGTCAGTTACTTAGCCGTCGTTCCTCGCTCGTCTAGTAGTGGCTAAATTGAACAATCATATATCATTTTAAAGATCTCGACTCGATCTTTCTAACTCCATTTTTAATTTTATCATAAGATACTTTCAAACTTTGTTAAATCATTGTTAAAGTTAAAAAAAATAAAGAATTGCGCATTATATTTGTTAGAATGTCAACTGAAATCTGGTCGGATTGTATAGAAAGATATTTCCAAATAAAGAATGCAATGGTATCTCCCGATCGTCGATCGGACCTTGAAATAGCAAAAAAAAAAAGTTACAGTGAACTTTTTAAATTTTCGAGGTGTGCGACAACCGTACAAATAACTCAACCGACAATTTTTAGCGACTTGGTTGATTTGATGGGTGAACTCTCATTTTGTTCTTATTTATTTTAATGTGCAACTATACCCCTTAATTATTTTGATGCTTTGAGCTCATACGAACCTTGAATTTGAAGTGACATTTTCCCCTTAATTATTTTGATGCTTTGAGCTCATATGAAACTTGAATTTGAAGTGACATTTTCCGCATATTTATTTATTTATTTATTTATTTTTGGTTGGAATTTTATGCTATTTTTCCCTCGAGTACAAAAACTTATTAAATAAAAACTTTGAGTACCACTATTGAAAAAAAAAAAAAAAAAGATAAATTTGGGTACCATATTATAATTTTGCCATTAGAGTAATTTAAGTTTAATTAATGAAATTTTTATTTAAAAAATTATTCAAGGAAATAAAAGAATATAGTCGAGTCGCTTGAGAGCCAGTTTCCCAAAGCTTGTCTTCTACCTCCCCACACGCATACTCACGCCCTATTCACACACAGGGAGAGAGGTCTGGTATGGTTATGGCTTCTCAATTCATTCATGGCCATGGCCAGGAATAATAAACAGTGTTCTTAACTCCACAGAATCTCTCGCCAGCCGTCCTATTCACAGCCAACGCAGCTTTTCCCCCTTTTTGCCTGTTCAGTTTTTCCTTTATCTTTTCATATATTATCATTAATTTCGTTTATAGAATAATTTTCAGCTTGCCATCACCAGGCATCGATCGGCCTCCTCACTATTCCTAAGATTCTCGCCCATTAACTTTCTTCACTTCTTTCCCCAAGCCAAGAATCTCTTTCCCCCTCACAGATTCCTTCTTTTCCCTCCCCTACTTTCTTTCTTTTTTTTTTTTTATCTCAAAAACTTAGCTTTATCAATATGATGCCATTCTTCTCTTTCTACCCTCTCTCTCTCCCCTTCCCTCCTCCTCGCCTCTCATCATCTCTCTTATCAGTCCCTTTCACCGTTTCAGAAAACCCCTTTGCCTCATGTCTTCTTCGAACGTCAACCACCTTTCTCAGCCTTGCATTTATGGTATGTCTGTGTGATTTGGGTGTATTTTTTGGCATTTTGGTTGGTGCCCACTTGATTTTTTGTTGTCTTGGGGAGAAATATGGACGCCTTTTTAAGCTTTAAGTGATGCCTTTTAGTGTAATTCTTGGTATTTTTTTGTGTATGTTGGTGTTGAGACGATGTTCTTCGGGTATGATGGGCTTATTGGTTTTTCATGCATATTTTAGTTATGAATGAAGGTTGTTGTTTTCTTTTTCACCTGTAATCTCGTTGATGTGCACTTTTTTTAGTTTTCCTTTTTTGTGTGTTAATTTGCAAAGAGTTTTTTTTGCGTTTTAGCTGATGCCCACTTGATTTTTTGTTGTCTTGAGGAGAAATACGAGATGGCCTTTTAATCTCTAACTCTAAGTGATGCCTTTTAGTGCAAACTCTTGGTGCTTTGTGTGTGTGTGTGTGTGTGTGTGTGTGTGTGTGTGTGTGTGTGTGTGTTGGTGTTGACACAATGTCCTTTGGGTATTTTAGTTGATGGGCCCATTGGTTTGTCATTCATATTCCCGTTATGATGATGAAGGTTGTTGTTTATTTTTTCCTTTTAACCTTTTGGTGTGCAATTCTTTTAGTTTTCTTTTTATCTGTTAACTTGTGAGGGAAGAGCCTTTTGCATTTCAGCTGATGCATCTATTTCATTGAAATTTTTCATTTTTGAGAACTTACGACATTTCTTTCCTTGAACATCATCCGCTCGTGTAAAGATTGATTTTTTCTCGTTCAATTAAAAAAAAATACGGTATAATTGCTGGAATTGAGCAGGACATGTTGTTTCTTCACACGCAGACCGCAAGTCGAGGTTTATGAAATGGCTGAGTAGGCTTTTCAAGAGTGGGGCCAGCAACAGGCATGCTGATACTGGTGGACAGCAACCTCAGTCTTTCGGCGATGAAAATACTGTTTGGCGTGCTCCTGTTAGATCCTTGGTACCAATCTTTGATCAGTGTTAAGTTGATGATGCTATAATTATTTGCAAAACTTCCACATGATTGATGAAATCTACATTATAAAACTTTTTCATTCCGGTTTTTTGTTTATATAATAATATCTCTTGCTCATACTTGCTATCTGATTAGATATATTTTGCGGAAGTGAAGTAAATTGTGTTTTCGAGCCTCTGCAGGATGACCGATCTCGAGCCAATAAAGAAAAGGAGGAATTAGATCGTGCAATTGCACTTTCTTTGGCTGAGGATTTAAAGAAACCAAATGGTGATATTAATTTGTTCATTCTTTTCTCCAAATAGCTTCCTAGCAAGTATCTAAATTACTTGAGACTGGAATATTATTATTATTATTATTATTATTATTATTATTATTATTATTATTATTATTATTATTATTATTATTATTATTCAGGATACAAATGGAGAACAGACAATGATGAACACAATAATGGTTTCAATTCAGCACCTTATCCTTCGTATGCCCCTTCTGATTATTATCATATGAGCTATAGGTATTATAACTCGAGTTATGTTATTACATCAATTATTGCCAATATATATATATATATATATATATATATATATTATTGCCTTTCCTTGAATTGTAATTTGTTTGTGTTGGTTCTGGCCACGTCAACAGTGCATTTTATCATCTAAGTTATGTTTAGGAAATTTTCTAGAAAATCCTTAATTTGGTATGACTGATTATGCTGATAGAGTTAGATTTTTTTTTTCCCCCTGGTGGATATACAAGATGATCAAAATATAGTCTTTTGTTTTGCATTTATCTCAATAGTCAATTTCCTTTTAATATGAACTTGTGCAGTGTATTCCTATCAATCCAGAGTTTGTTGGCTTTCGTGGCATTTAGTATTACAATTCTCCTTATATGCCACTCATATGCAGTCTTTGGCTTATGGTTAGCAAAAATGTTTCTGACCCTTTATTGGTTTTTTTGCTGATGATTTGTAGAATATGTGGCGGCTGTAAACGAGAAATTGTGTATGGGAATTATTTGGGGTGCATGGGCACGTTCTACCACCCAGATTGCTTTCGATGCTGTGCATGTAATTATCCTATTACTGAACACGAGGTAGTTTGATATTCTTGTTTTTGATCGTAAACTGTAATCATGTCCGATAAACTATTTTTTTTTTTTTTTTTTCTCCTAATTCTCATTAATTTCTTTTATGATTCAAGTTCTCTTTGTCAGGAAGAGACACATATCATAAGTCCTGCTTCAAGGAGCTCACTCATCCCAAATGTGAAGTCTGTCATCAGTTTGTATGTAACCCGGTGAAATTGTAAAAAACAATTACCTTGATTTTAGTCTGTGTTTTACAAGTTACCCCAACTGACTGGGCTAGTTATAAAACTATGACAAATGCCAAGGAGCAAAGGGCCAAATAGTTTTTTTAGTTGTGTAAAGTTTCATTTACAGTTTGTAATATAGGCTTAGATTTCACTGGTTATCCTAATATCTATGTTACTGTTGTGCTATAAATATATTTACAGATCCCTACTAATGGAGTTGGCTTGATCGAGTACAGATGCCACCCTTTTTGGTCTCAAAAGTATTGCCCTTCACACGAACACGACTCCACTGCTCGATGTTGCAGTTGTGAACGTCTGGAGGTACATATTTTTGCATAGTAATTACAGCCATCCCTTTATTTTTTCGTTTATATATAGTATTAATACAATTTATCCTCTTAAATTTTCTCTGATTGAAACCTCAAGGTTTATTGTTTTTGTAATTCTGAAACTTCTTTAGGGAGCATTTGTAATTTTTGTAAATATTCCTATTTGTATTGCCTTTTTTCTTTTTCTTTTTCTTTTAATTTTCCTCAAAATGGGTCTGGATCTAAAGTTTTTTTATGCTATTACACAATTTTTTTTTTTTTTTTTTTTTTTTTTTTTTTTTTTTTTTTTTTTTTTTTTTTTTTTTTGTTTTTGTATTTTTATTTTTATTATTTTTCACTTTGTACTTTGTTATTGTCTGCCTTAAGTCTTGGAACACAAAATACATATCACTTGGAGATGGGCGTAATATATGCTTGGAGTGCATGGAGTCGGCTATTATGGATACCGGAGACTGTCAACCGTTATACCATTCCATCCGAGACTTCTATGAGGGAATGAACATGAGAATTGATCAACAGATACCAATGCTTCTTGTCGAGAGGCACGCCCTTAACGAGGCTATTGAAGGGGAGAAACATGTAAAAAAGCTACATAAAAATTGTCTCCTTTTCCATTTCTGATATTCTTGCAGATTTTATTCTTTTTCTTTTTCTTTTTCTTTTTTTTTTTGGTTTTGTGAAATATGACGAGTTTTGCAGGGCTTTCATCACATGCCTGAGACGAGAGGTTTATGCCTGTCCGAAGAGCAGACTGTTACTAGTGTAAACTCTTCTGTACCACCCTGTTCTTTTTTCTTTTTCTTTCTTTTTTCTTTTTCCATTGTGTAAAAATAAAATGAGAATTAGTAATGAACTACCCCTAAGGTTTGCCCCAATCACAAACAGAACTCACTTAACTTTGAAACTTATCGAAACAAACCCCTTGAGCCGCTTGAGGTTATATTTATCATACATGTAACACCTATACTGGAGCTAATGGATGATGTGGTCTTCAACTAATATATTTTCAGTTGAAGCCCTCATTTACATTTCTCCCCTCATTTTTTTCTTGGCACAAGAAATAACTAGACGATAAGTTTCGGCTGATCTATACTTGTAAAATATGTGATGATGTTAGCTAAGCAAAAGTTGGGGCAAACTGAAAGATGAAACTATGCCTTAAGGGGCGATTTCCATAATTGTAAAAGTTGCTTTTTTTTTTTAAAAAAAAAAAAAAAAACTATATTGCTGGTGGTGTGAACGATGAATAGACTAATAAATAAGGTGGAAAATATCCAGGTTCTGAAAAGGCCAAGAATGGAGCGTGCTGGACTGGTAGGAATTAGGACACAACCTCAAAAACTGATCCGTAAGTGTGAGGTTACAGCCATTCTGGTTTTGTATGGTCTCCCCAGGTAACTCTCTCTCTCTCTCTCTCTCTCTCTCTCTCTCTCTCTCTCTCTCTCTCTCTCTCTCTCTGTTTCACAAAAAAAGCTTGAACTTTTTTTCTATTTTGAGCCAATAACCGTGTATGACCGGCATTTAATTCGTTTGTGGTTATGCATTTGGATACACTTGGTTGAATGGATTAGATGATTTCTTTTTACTTTTCATCCTGAACTTCTATGGACGTTTTAGTCTACGTTCTTTCTTGGGCTCTTTTATCCTAATTTATGTGAACCTTGAATTGAAAACAGAACTAAAAGCATAGTAGAAATTCTGCTTATAGTTGTCCTCATAATGTGATGTCGAATGGCTGATTCTCAGATCAACCTTGCCTTATTTCCTGTAAATTTCAGACTAACCCAGAGAAACTCCAAATTACAAAAAAAAAACCCACAAGCTTTGATTTAATATTTTTAAGCCTGAATTTTGGGAATTTGCTGATATATCCTTTATCTTATAATTATATTCCTCAATTTTTTAAACTTCAACTGACTTCCATCTTTTCATCTGGCTATTTTTTAAATCTGAAAAAGTTGGGAGATATACTTTAAAATACTTTGGGAGAAGATTTGATTTCCGTTTTTTCGAACAACTGGTTATATGGTAAAGGGGTTATGCTGCACAAACATAAAGATTGACATACTTTGGCATATTACTTTCACATCACATCATCTCTAAAATCAACATTTTTTTGTCCAACTTTCCGGCAAAGTAGCATTTTTCTTGGTAAAAAAATGCATTTGTGGGTATTAAACTTCTCTATAATCCACACAACTTTACTGATAGTTCACTATAACCCTCCCATAGAATAATTAATTCAAGCATAGAGATAAATGTTTTGACATTCTTGATCCAGGTTGCTCACTGGCTCGATCCTCGCACATGAGTTGATGCATGGATGGTTACGTCTTAACGGTAACAAACATGCTTAGCCTTCAACTCCTTTTTTTTTTTTTTCCCCCTCATAGGCTGTGGTTTCACTTGGACAACGAAAAAATGATGGAAATTAGTCAAATTTTCCTAAGAACTATTGCATTTATAATTACAACTTCTCCTCGCTATTTGTTGAATCCACAGAATAGAAACTTACTTCGTCAAGTAACATTTGTAATTAAAAATGAAAAAATAAAATAAAAATATAACCCTCGTATTTATTCGCAATAAAATTTAAAAGTTTTAATTTTCAAAACACAGGGTACCGAAATCTCGCACCCGAGGTAGAGGAAGGCATTTGTCAGGTACTCTCTCACATGTGGCTCGAGTCTGAAGTAATACCCGAGACAAGAAACTTGCCATCCACATCCAAACCATCATCATCATCATCATCATCTGTTTGGTCATCGTCCAAGAAAGGCGGCAGGTCGAGTGTCGAAAACAAGCTGGGCGAGTTCTTCATGCATCAGATAGCACACGATGCTTCCCCTGCTTATGGAGGAGGTTATAGAACTGCCATGTCAGCAGTTAACAAGTTTGGCCTACGCCGTACTTTGGATCACATCCAATATACGGGGCAGTTTCCCGTGTAATCTTTGATTGTGTTTTTGTTTGAAGACGTTCGGGAGTATTCCTATTTTATTCTTAAAATTATTATTTCGAAGACTCGGGGAAAATGGATGATCGGTTTTCATATCTTCTTTAAAATATGGAAAGAGCTTTTACTGAGTTGATCTTGTGTAAGTATGATGAGCTCACCCCCTGGTTTTTTTGGGGGGTCCTGAGAGGATACACATACAGTTGTTATGGAATGTAATCTTATGAATTTGGGACTCTTTTCATTTGATGAAAACAGTATAATTATAAACTCAAGAAGTTGAATACATCTGGTTATTTTCTGGTGTTTTCTTTTTGGGTCAATTATTAAGTATAATAACTAAACTAACTGTTAATGTATTGGCTCATGTACTATGTGAAATTCTTGTTTATATTGTTTTTTTATAGTATGATATGATATTAATTTGTATGAAATAATGTGTCAAAAAAAAAAAAAAAACTGTACTGGTTGAATAATTAGACAAACTAGTATTCGACCTGTGCATTTGCACAGATATAAATAAAGTATTGTCTGTTATTTGTATGCACATAATGATTAATAATTTTTCTTGCACATTTTGCAGGCAAAATTTACAATTAAAAAAGCTGGAATATTTATTTTTTAAAATTGCGTTTATCATATTGGATGTAATATATATTTTGGTATGTATTTTTTTTGTGAATCATTTATTATTTATTTATGAATTTCAAATACGATTTTTATTTTCCAAAAGAAGTTATTTTAAATGTAATCACAACAATAACATCTAATCACGTTAAATAGTCAACACATTATATGGTCAGTTGTAATTAAATTAAAAGTTTAAAATGGTTTTTTGTAATTTTGAAGTGATTAATGTGTTGATTATCTAATAATTAATGAGAGGCTAAATAAATACAAAGTAACGGTTTTTGGAGGAAAAAGTTATATTGCCACATAGGAATAATTGAATAAGTTTTATTAAATGCTCATGAGCTAGCAATTATATATATATATATATATATATATATATATATATATAGAGAGAG